ACTTCTCGTGGAACGAGCTCTGCCATGACTGAACGTCCTCGTTGAACTTATCGCTCCAGATCGACCGGACAAGCTCAATCAGCTGGGAGCTGCTGGTTGCCAGCGAGTTCAGCTTGGCGTCTAGATAGTCTTGAATCTTTCCCTTGGTCTTCGATTGGCTCTCGTGGCCTCCTTCCATCATCTCCGCTATGTCCTGCTTGTAGCTTGCGATCTGCTGCCTCAGCTCCTCAATCTTCCGGTCCACCACCACCTTCTCAGCTGAGAGTGTGCGCTGCATTTCTGCGAGGCTCAGCTGGCGTGTGTTATGCATGTTGAGGATCTTGGACTGGATGGCCGAGGTAGCGGCAGATAAGAGCGAAGTGCTAGCGTTGGAGTTGCGCTCGAGCAACAAGATTCGTTTCTTGAGGGCGAGCAGGTCAGCGGAGATGCTCGACTCAGCTTGGTCTTTGTTTGCAATCATCCTCTCCATAACTCTGATGCAAGCGTCACCGGCTAACTACCACAACAGCCTTCCACTCACCGTGCGTGAAGGGAATTGGAAGAATCCTCACGCGTGGAATTGAGACGAGTGAATGTCTGCCATTGCAACGCTCGTAGCTCCTCATACTGCGATTGCAAGCGATTCTGCATTTCAGCCGCATAAGATTTCAGTTGGTCAAGGTCCTCCTCGGCGTTCTGAAAGTCGTTCGGGTCAGGCTTGATGGAGAAGGAAGGAGAACAAGAAAAAAACTCACGTGTCGATCAGCCTCGTTCTTCTCTACGACGCGGTCCAAGAAGTGAGACAGGTGCAGGTTGTGATCATTCTGAGTCTGCACTTGCGATCGCATTGCGGAGAAGAGGCTGTCGTATGTGTTGGCAATGTTCACACGCTGCGAGCTCAGCAGGTCTTCCATCGTTTGGAACGAGTCTTGTATGGCAGCATGAAGGATGAAATGCACAGAGCCGACTTTCTCCTTCAGTGAAGCTTCTGATTGGTTGCCGCTGGTGGCAATCTGCTCCTTGAGCGTAGAGAGCATTGACGACTGCATGCTCTGTACTCGCTGGGACTCAGAACGAAACTTGCTCTCACTGTCCATCACGGCCTGAAGCAACAAGTTCACTTTCTCGTCAAGCCCTTTGATGGTAGTTTGCTGTTCTGTCTCCAGGTCCTGCAGGTCCTTCGCCGTCTGCTTGTTGTTCAACATCTCGCGGCTAGACAGGAACCCGAGCTGATTCCGCAAGCTTGACTGGGTCGCAGCGCTCTCTGATTGCAAGGCTAGCCTTCCATTCTGCAGACTCTCAATCTTCGTCTGCACGTCTGAGAGCAACTTGGATTTCTCCTCCCTGATCTTCCCCTCAAACTTACTGTCCATGGCGTCGATGTCTCTCAGCTTCTGAACCTCGAAATCATCCGAGTCAGTCTTCATCTGCCTTGCAAACTGATCAGCGAAGTGCGAGAGCTTGCTGGAGGTGGAGGAGATGTTTTCGTCGATGCCACGGTATCCTTGGTCTGCATCGGCAAAGAGAGCCGAAGAGGATTGCTCGAGACCCTCAATGGCGTCTTCTTGTTCCGAATTCACTTTCAGCTCCTGGGAGACAAAATCTCGAAACTTGTTATTGAACGTGACATCGTCTGCAATCAGAGAGTCGTTCACTTCGCGCAGCCTCTGCTCTTGTTGTGAAGCTTCAGATTGGATGCTGTCACGAAGATCAGACACGTAGAAGTCTGCTCGCCTTGTGAGGGACTCGTTCACATTCTGAATCAAGTGAAGGATCATGTTGCTCAATGTGGACACGTCGTTGGCTTCTGCGGCCTGGCGAGCATCCTTCATGGCACTCAGTTTGCTTCGAACGTTGTCAATGGTTGAGTTCAAGCCCTCGTAACTCTGCTGAAGCCACTGAAGAAACATTTGATTCTTGCTTTCAAAACTGCTCCTGTTGGCTTTCATCACAGAGAGAATGAACGCTCGATCATCCTTGGCTTGCTGTTTCATTCTCTTCTCCGTGTCAGCAAGGCTGCTGAAAAGTTGATCAATACGTCCAAAGTCATGATCCAAGTCATGGAAAGTCTTGCTCTTAGTGATTTCAAACTTCTTCCTCAACGACTGAGTGAACGACGCTCTGTACTCATTGTTTTGCATTTGCTCGCTGACCATGTGACTCAGGGCCGAGTTGCCCTGTTCACCCTCCGTGGTTATGTTTCTGTTTGCATTGGACAGAGCTTGTTCAATCTGACTCTTCTTGGCAGCAAACAAGGCGTTGACACTGCGACGTTCCTCATCCAAGGTGTTGAGAAGATCATTGTGAAGATGAGAAGAATCATCAAGAGTTTTCTTCAACACAGCCTCGTGATCCTCGCGAATCTTCTTGTTCAGAGCTTCAGTAGTTGCCAGTGTGTTGTTGTAGTCCTCTGACTCCTTGCGATCTATCTCGGCGAGCGAAGTCTTGACCTTCAGCAACGCAGCATCTAGCTCACTGTCTCCGTTTCTCATCGCTTCTTGAACCCCCTTCGAGTAGGACATGACCGTGTCATACCTTGCGCTGTGCTGGTCGTGAAGTTCTTTCATCTTCTCCTTCAGATGAGCTACTTTCTGAGCCAGCAGCACCAGAGCTTCCTGACTGTCCTCCTCTTGCTTCGCGGACAACTTCGTCACTTCTGCATTGACTAAACCAAGGTTTTGATCCGTGTAGTTCTTGACTGCTCGCGTGACCTCGACAAGTTGACTGGTCAGGTTTCCAAGAGCAAACCGATGACTCTTATGCATCTCCATCTGAAGGGCATGTATGTCCATGATTTCACGAGCTATGGTCTTGCGGAAAAGTTCGAACAACAACCGCTGTTCACGCGACTTCTTGACACTCTGTGTGTGGTGCGAGCTCTCTCTCAGCTCCAGCTGATAAGAGGTGTTAGAGAGCACAACAGACTTCCTGGCATTCACCTCTGCAAGCGCTTTCATGGTTTTCCACAACTCTTCTCGAACTTGGTTGTCGCTCCAGGTGAGATACTCTCCGCTAGCTACTTGCTTCTCGCATTCTGCATTCCAAGTCAGCACGAGCGCCTAGAACCATCGTTGTCGGTGACCTTCAGGATCTGCAAAGAGTCCACAATAAGGATTTCTCTCCGGCGAGGTCTCGGCATTGACTTCGTCTCCATCCGTATCCCCCTCAATCATAACATCCCGTTGTGGAGACTTCCTATCGAAAAGCGCGGCTGCGAGCAAGCAAGCAAGCAAGAGGACACCCAGCAGCACAGGTCGTCTTTTTGCTCTCCCTGCATCATGAGGTCTGAGAAGAGAGCGATCAGAGTAACATCTTCACGCATACCTTGTGCAGCGTCGTTCGCATCGGAAGCAACTGTTCCTATGCTTCCGTAGCCACTGGCTGTCTGATGAGGCATCCTCTACAGCCCTTCAGCGACATAACACGCGTCAGTAAATAGACGAGCACGTTAGAGATGAGAACAACAGGAAAATAATGAGCACAATCATGGCATGCACCTAGTACCCAAACAGAGCACCAGCATTTCAAAGGATGAAACCATCATAAATCATCGTCCATGGTACAAGCAAACAACCAACAAGAGCAAGATCGTGCATCGAATCATGCCGTCCTCCTCCTCTGTCTCCTCTCCCCCTCTCACCTTGTCCCTGAAGCTCCCCGTCCCCCCTGCTCATTCAGATGCCATGGCGACGGAAATAGCCTTTCAGCGGATCACATCCCCTCATCCCCGCACAAATATGTCCCTCATCCCCGCTAAACTCCCATCATCCCCCTCATAACCCTTCCAACCCGAAATAGAGCAGAGCAGCGGGAGCGAAAATGTTTGATCTGCTGGCAGACAAGTGGAAGCAGGTGAGAGGAGGAGGAAGAGGAGGAGGATGATGATCATGACGACGACGATGATCATGATCGATCATGATCATCGGCGTCGTCATGATCATGATCATGATCTTGACGACCATCCTCACACATGCTTCCACGAGGAGGAGGAGGAGGAGGATTATTATGATGAGGATGAGGATGAGGATGATGATGATGATGATGATGATGATGAGGAGGAGGAGGAGTTTAGCGGGGATGAGGGACAGGAGGAGGAGGGTGGGATGAGAGTAGTGAGGACAAGGGAGAGCGATGCAGAGGATGATAGGGAGGTTGGGAGAGAAAAATAGGAGAACAGGCGAGACAGAGGGGATTGGGCGGGAGAGAAGTTGTCAGAGATTTGTAGAGGAGGGAGCAACAATGAGAGGATGATATTGGAGAGTGGTTGAGCTTGGTGCTGGGAAGCAGTGCGATAAGTTGGTTTTGAGGTTGGGGGGGTGATAGGGTTACCCTATAGGGTTGCAAGGAGTGAGTGGATGAGAGGGATGAAAAGCAGAGAAATGAAACATTTCCTTCAAGACTTATGATGAGATTATTGAACTTCGGAAGTAAGGAGCGGATCTACTGTAAGTTAGTAGGGAATAGAAGATAGGTTGATTCGCGACTCCTGTTGAACAACAAGAATTCCAATTTCATCTTTTGTGTGGTTCTGGTTGTTTTTTGAAAATTACCCTTTTTCTGTAATGGCATGTTGTAAATTTTTGCAATCATCTGAATCTATGTTGAATCAAATACGAGTTGAACTTGTTGGTGTGGCAGGAGATTTTCAATAACGACATCTCCTCTCGGCTCAAGTACGCCGCTCTCCATGATTGCGAGACTAAGTATGGTCTGGTCTTCTCAATGCAATACAATCTGACCAGCACATAGGTGGAAGAGCTGTGGAGGCAAGACCAAGAAGCCGCTTCACTCCATTGACAAGTGACGACATTCTGTTACGTTTTTGCTCACCTGTTGGTTGACATGTGCTTTCTTCAGATATGGGATCCCGACCGACGGCTCCTAATCTGCTGACTTGACAGGATGTCGTTAGAGTTTCACTTGCGAAGGATTGCGGTGTTCCACCTTCCAAACCTGTACAAAGGAACAGAGTTGCTGTTACTGTAAATTCAAATTATCTCGTCAAACCAATGAAAGTCAGTGGAAAAATCTTCAGTTTTACTGCTGCAATCTTGCAATGGGCTTCTAAAGCGATTGCATGGAAAAGAATGAAGTGGATAAGTCATGGTACAACAACGTTTCTGAACAGGTTTCATCTTGAGCCCGCGGTACTGGGTGGAGGCCCGCCAGCGAGGTAGAAATTCCACACGCAGACAGCAGCGTCATCTCCTACTGACACCTGCGAACATTGTGAGAAAGATGAAAACATGAAGGGAAAGAGTGAAGGAAGGGAGGAGAGAGGCAGAGAGAGGAAGGGTGTGGAAGAGAGAAAGCAGTCAGCGGAGGCATGAAGAGCTACCAGCTGTTTCTCGTCGGGGGACCATGCTAGCTGTGTTATGATTCCCGAGTGTCCCCGGCAGACAGCAACAATCTCCATAGCCTGCCACATCACGTTACTTGCAGTGCAGACTACGACTGCAAGCGCAAGCTCACCACGATGTCCCATATACGAACACAAAGGTCTTCGCATCCGACGGCAACAAACTGACCGCTGGAGCTGATGGCAACGCAACTGAACTTCATCTTCCTCCCGCAGTCAAGGGCCATCACCTGCCTCTTCCTCACCCTCTCCCTCTCCCTCGCACCAGCCACGTACCGGCAACTGAACGTCACAGTCCCAGCTCAGCACGAAGCCATCAGTCGTGGATGTCAGAAGCTCTTGCTCCGAGTCGACCCGTTGAGCGAGTCCCGTGAAGGCGCCATCGCGATGCATCTTGTAGTTGGACCTGCGCGTTGTCTTGAGATCATACGTTACTACCGCCCGATCGATGGAGCAAGAGTGGACTAGATGTGCATGAACGTTGTCCACCAACAGCCCAGTGATCGGCTTGTTGTGCTCGGTGTACTGCCCGACGAACTCCAGATTTCTTCGATTCCATACCCGCATGGCCCCGTCCTCTCCGGCTGTGAAGTAGAACTCCTTGCCAACCGCTATGCACGTCACTTTCCCCCTGTGGCACTTTGGAATCTGTCCTTGCGGCTCACAATTTGTTGCTGTGAATATGCGCATGGCTCCATCTTCCCAGCCCGTCAGAATCCGATCGTCCGGCGTCCAGCACAGGCACGTGGCAGCACAGGATCCTCTCGTGAACCCCAGCACTGTGTAGTCTGACAAGTCGAAAATCCGTAGGATACCATCTTGAGAGACGGTAGCGAAGTGGTCGCTCCTGGTTCCAAACGCTACACCGTTGATGGCAGAAACGTTGCTCTGCTGCATCAACCGGACGCTCAAGTCGTCGCATCCGATCGAGTACATCTTCGCGGTATCCGTGCCCACGACCAGCTCACCAGAGGCGGCCACCGGGACTATAGACGTCACTCGCCCATGAAGCTGGACTTCCCCAACAACCGACCAGTACTGATCGTTCCCTTGCAGCTTCTTAAGCTTGCCATCACCCGATCCAGCGAAGATGTACTCTCTGCAAGAGCACAGGGAAAGAACTCCATTGGTGGAGATTGGTAACGCCGCTCGGTACACCAGACTGTCGCAATTGAAAACCACCAACTCTCCCACAGAGGTCCCGGCGATGAGCTCTCCATTAGTGGGTGATAGGGAACAGTCATGGTAAGTGCGAGCAAGTCCAGCAGAGGGAAACTTCAACAGTTCTGTCTTGAGTCCGTAATGCATCGTGCGGATGTCATACTCGAGATAGTGCGCGTGAACTTTGACGGTATGAAACGTGTAGAGAGAATACTTGGGCGTCTTCACCCGGCGAGAATTGTCAGCAACTGTAACTACCCCCCAGCACATTGCAGTTGCTGCTTTGGGGCATTTCACATATTGCGCTACACTTCCATTCTGCGGAAAGGATCAGCAACACCCAGCAAGCTCGAGCTCAAGTAGAAACACCTGCATGTCCCAGATGGCAAAGTCATTGCCATTCATGTTCCCCTCCCCGATCGCAGCAAGAAATCGATCGTCGTCAGAAAACTTGAGAGCCGTGACGGTTCCTGTTACCCCTGACAACCGATAGACGGGCTTTCGAGATTCGTACTCCCATACCACAATCTGCTCCCCGTCTCTGTGTATGCTCTGTCGCTGCCCCGAAGCAAGCAACTTTCCCTGCGAGCAGGCATCAAGGCAAGGAGCATGCAGAGGGAGGAGATACGGTAGCTGAGAATGAGACGCTCGTGATGTCGTTGTCGTGACCCCGCAGGAGATCCTGCTTGTGAGGATCCGTCTGATCTGCCAGCACAACCACATGGCCTATTCCATAAAGCATCACATTCGTGTCTTGCGGATTGACGGAGATAGCATGCAGCTCCTGAGACAAGAGGTGAGCGTGGAGGAGCTTCAAACCGATTTCATACCTGTCCAGTGAAGCCTATGATGTGCTCAAGCTCTGCAGCATCAAGCTCCTGACCGTCGTCCATGTCTGGATGATGCAGGGAGAGATTCTGCCGCGACAGTATCAGCACGTGAAAACTGCCTGAGACATTTGGCGACATCCTTCCTTGCCCTCACAAGATCCCACATCAGCCCTTTATCCATTTCTCTTGAAGACACCTGAGATCCCTCACTCCCAACTCTTCTCCTGGTCTCCTGACCTCAACTGTTCAAAATTCGAACACAAACCGAACTGCATTCTGTTTCGAGCATCTGTATCCCCATCCTTCTCCTACTGACTTCTCACCCTCCACATTTTCGTCATGACCCTCGCTCAACGTCTCCTCCTCTCATCTCTCTCATCTCTTCCCTTCCCCGTCACTGCATTGCCCGACCGCCCTGCCTCTCCCGCCATTCTGACGCGCTCGTTCCGTTGGTCATGGGATGAGCGGGGATGTGGTCCAGTTTTGCTTCTATCAGGGCACAAAATGCATGGGGTGTAGGGGCTAGGACGGGAGGAGTGGCAGGATCTGAGCGAGCATGGAAGGGGAAGAAGGCGAGGAAAGATGGAGATAGAGACGAACATGATCAGGAGGACGAGGACGAGGAGGACGAGGAGGACGAGGGAAACCTTGAATGAGCTCCTGAGACTTTCATCAGGGGCGTCTTGACCTACAAGTGTAGAGATCGAATGTGCCAGAGAAGTTTGACGTTCACATTGGCTGTTCTGCTGTTGAATGCTTTAGGCAAAATCGAAGCTTTCGTTCCTTTGCAAGTAACACCTAGTCTTGTGTTGATCTCTTGAATGCAAGTTGAGAAGGTTGTTTCAAGGCTTCATCTCACCCTCGCGTATCTCGCCTCGCCATGTCAGCTGATCCACAAGGTGACCTTACCTCTTCCATCCCCGTGCTCCTCACTCGACAATAGGAAAGCACAAGATTTTGTTTCTACATGGCAAGGGAGAAAACGCAAAGACCTTTCGGGCGAGGTGAATCCTATGAAAGGGCTGCAAAATCTACCTGACCCTAATTCTCCCCGTGAAGACTACGAAGACTCGAAGACGCACTGGTGGAGAAGAAGGGAGATGCAGTATCCTTGGAGTTTGTGACGGTAGGTTGGAACCGGCGGCTTCCATGCCTGACAAATGCCGCAGGCTCCTCATCTGATCGGATCTGACGACAAGTATGCATGGTGTGTGAGACTCAAAGGGCATGTTGGGCATGCACGTAGTGAAGCTGCTGCTGATGGATAGGTGGAACCTTCCACCGAATCAACGATCCTTCACCGCCAGTGAGTACATCGGGATGGACGAGACGTTCAAGGTCTTGTGCTTGTGGACTAGATGTGTGGGTAACCTTGACAGCAGATGATTGAGAAGACCTGGATGGAGAAGGGACCGTTCGATGCAGGTTAGACTGGCTGATAGTCCGGTGGAGCAGAAATATCTGATGTGTCCTTGTTGTAGTTGTTGGACATTCGCAAGGAGCAATCCTGATCACGGTGAAGGCGTGAAGTTGGAGCAGCAGCCCTGATACTTGGCTCAAGGTTCTCCTATCTCGGGCCCTCCTTCGCGACTTTTCCTTCAAGGTGACGCGCTCTTCTTCCTTTCCCTCTCCCCTCCCTCGAGCTCTTGAGTGCTGAACCCTGTCTTGCGCAGCCTGCCAAGGCGATTCTCTTCGGTGTGTCTTCTTGCTTGCAGCCATGGCTGCTAACGACTCGCTTGCTAACCTGCCTGCAGGAGCTGCCTGGCCCAACCCGTTCGACGGTGAGCTGAATCAACTTGCTGCTATGGATTTGGCGACTTCGTCGTACTCTCCTCAGACTCTTCACGTATACGCGTAAGCTCTCCTCGCCTTAGGTTCTCCACCCTCGTGCCAACAAATCTCTACAGGATGAACGACAACATCAACCCGCCCGAGATGGCCAAGAGGATTGAGAAGGTCTGCCAAGCTTGTCGAGCTTCCGACTGATTGGTTGCAGCTCCTCGGACCCAAGGCCTCTCCTGGGAGCACGAGCAGGGTCACGATATCCCCATGGACGACAAGTCCCTCGCCAAGTTCAGCTCGTTCCTCTTCGACTGACATGGATCGATTTCAGCTTCCTAGCCGTGTGCTGTAGTTAAGATACATGAGTTCGACATCTACAAGCGTGCGAGATGATGAAATCTTGAGAATGATTGTTTTCTTACGAGATATCCATCCTCAGGTAGCCTTGTAACAAGTTATCCCTTTACTTGCACGAACCCAACAGACGATCAATGATTACTGTATCAGTTGAAACCCTATACCATATTTACATGCTTGCTTCTTGTGATCAACCTGAACACGAGAGTGAGGTGGCAACCACTTGTATGCAAGCAGAGATCACCTCGACAGACAAGGACATCGAGGACACTTCCGACAACGTTTTTTCAAAGATTGAAGTAACCTGCATGGCGATCACCGTAAGAACATCACGAGATAAGGTCTAGAGAAGAGAAGACACGAGGGTTTGCACTTCTGCTACCTTTCCATCCGTCGTCAAGTTTGTTTTGAAAGATCCCGCCTGCGTGCTATACTCGTAGCCCACAGCGCACTGAAACGACTTTTGAGTTGCAAGACAGCAACTCCCCATGTTACTTACAAGCGACTCGGTGGAGGCTACGTCTACAGACATCTCCGTTCCGAACGTAAGATTATCTCGCACCTACAACAACACTAAGAAAAGCAAGACAATCCAAAAGAATTGGCGGTCAGACGCTTTGAATGCAATACAACACAGACAATCAGCTTTCTTCTCCTTACCCTCTGGACATAAGAAGCTTGGAGCTGTCCTGTTGACGTGAGCTTGGAGACAAAGGCAAGCCTGTAACGTGCTCATGAGACAAAGAGGCTGCTGAACGAGAGAGCTATCCTTTACCTCTCGGTAGAATAACGCAGTCCCGCAGTGATGATGCTGACTGGCGGCTGGTTGAACGGAGGCCGTCCTAGATACTGCGACGACACAGCAGGTGAGACTTCTTGAGGTTGACACAAGAGCAGCAAGCAAGAGACATCACCATGAAATCAAGGCCCAACGACAAGGAGCGTGTGATGCTCTGGAGATAAGAAAATCCAAACTGAGCCATGGAACCAATCCTAGAGGTGCATGGTAAAAGAGCAGAACACGACAGAAAACATGCTCCTCACTTGCATTGCGCAAACCAATCAGAGCCCTTGTAGTCCGCGGTGATCAAAGCATGGGAATTGTGAGGAGTCGGAACGAGCTGTAAATGTTCGATCAGCTTTGCGGTCAAAAATCGGGAGGAAGCAAACTAGACCTGAGCTTGCATGTTAAGGGAAAAGTTTGGAGTCAAAGTTCCAATGTATCGTGCAAAAACTTCACCATTCGTAGCTGTCTTACTCAGTAGCAAGTGCTGAGATAACAACCACGTGAGTCATGCTGTTCAACACCTGATTGGCTCACCTTTCCCTCAGCGAAATTCGCCCCAAAGTGATATGTGCCATATTGTTCCGCTGAAGGTTGTAGATGCATCGCATGGTCAATCATAAACGAGTTGCTCAGTCCGCGTTGAAAATTAATCATGATCCCCTCATAGGTGTCAAGATGAAATATCTTATTCGATTCTTGACTAATATCCTCGAATTTCCCCTGAAAGATATCAAGTGAAAAAATTCGAAGATCATGGTACGTGCTGTGCAATCAAATGATTTGCTGAGAGCATGTTGTGCAATCAATTGATTTGCTGAGAGCATGATCAAGAATCAAGTGGAAAGCAGGGATAAATGAGCGCAAACGAGGACTTGTGGCGAGGTATTACGCCGACTTGGTTTTACATCGAATGGACCCAATGACAGAGAAAGTCTAGAGGGAGCATACAGGTAAACAGCAGATCGATCCGAAAGTATTGATATGAGAGAGGGACAAACCACTATCTTGTGACTAGTTCTCAGATATCAAGAAGCTAGACAGAGGGGGGAGGGAGTGGTGAAATCAACGAGGAGGAAGTAAGGTGATGGGTTGTGAAAATAGATAAGAAATGACGCAAGAGAGCAAGAGAGACCATGAAAGAAGATGAGATGATGAGATCACTCAGCATCGAGTATAGGAATGCATTACGGGGTTCGGTAAGTCGGTCTTCATACGCCAGAAGCTTCTTCTCTCCATCGCCGAGCGTGATTTACTACCCCCACCCGTCTCTTTCCAGTCATTTTATTAGATCTTGCACGGGTCATGTTCAGCACCACCCTACCTTCGATTTCTCAAGTGCACCTGGACAGTTGTTCATGGGGTGTACTACCTGATACCCCTACCCTCTTCTAGACCCGTCAAGGATATAAAATAAAGGGGTCCAAGTCTACACCCCCCCTCCTCCAGGCTGACCCCTTCTAGACACTACCCCCAATTTGAAGGTAAGACCACCCACGTTGTCGGACCCCAACGATGGTAGGATAGGTAACTCCCTGCAGACTTGTAACCAGCCCGCCTCAGTATTCAGATAAGGATAATATTTTAGGCAGAAACATTTCAATATGAAGAAACACCTGATGAATAGTTGGTGCCACAACTAAATGCCAGGTCCGACGGTTTCATGGATAACGGTCAATTAGATCGTTTCAGAAGTAACCGTCTACTCGACCAGGCGGCGCGGCTCTTCGCAGCAATGCGCTTGCTGCAAGCATGCGCGGCGATGGTAAGATGCGACAACGAAAGAGCATGCTCCTCAGTTGCTTGATCCTGTCTTCTTCTTGATGACCTCTGCTCCTATGTTGCTTGCTCCTGTCATCTTGTTCTCCTCTCCTCCTCTCTGCTCCCCTCTGTTCCCCTCGCTTCCGCTCTCCACTATTGCCATGATTCTCTCAAATGTGCCACCTTGATGTAGTATCGAGATCCTTGCCTCTACATTTTGTTATATTCATCAACTCGTTGATGTGATGGTAATCATGCTACCATCTCTTGAAACGTTTGAACAAATGTCTGGTTGTGCTGCTCATCAGTTTCTAGTGCAGCTGCCTCTTGTAGCATGTTTGATGTGATTGGTGAATGAGCCATTCTTGTGGAGAGGGACGTTGATGATGTGTTCAATACCTCACATTTCTTGCTGCACACGTTAATACTCTGATGCTGTCATGAAATTGTGGGAATGGAATCATTGATCCCAGGCTGTAGTGGATGATTTGACTGACAATGAATTTCCTAGTTCGTGGTGGGAACCGTCACATTAATGACGTATCATAGCGTAAGTTCAGACTGCTTCGTGTTGGTCACACCTGACTATTTGCTTCAGGTTACCCGACCAGCCGCCTTGGAAAGCGACCCTCAGATCTCCTTGGATGACTTGATCAGACAGGCTCCTCCATGGTAACTTCTGCTGTTCCAAGAATCCACTTGGATTGAGCATGATGCAGGGCTCCTGCAACTGCGCCAAAGCTTTCTTCTGGCTTCAATGCTTGGATGGATACCCTTCCCTTCGGCGACAACTACCACAAGAAGCTTGCAGAGAGAAAGGCAAAGCAGGAGTGGATTGAGTCAGAAAGATTGAACAATCCGCACTTCCTCCTCCGCCGTGTCGAAGCAAACAATGAGTATCTCCAGAGCAGGTGAGCATGATATTGTACAGTCATGCATTCAGATCACTCAAACCTACTTCCCCTTCTTCAGGTTGGAGTTTCTCGACAAGTTGATTGAAGAAAGGAAGTCTCTGCCCGATTCCATAGCAGTCAACATTGACCACCCCGGTCCTCCTGGAGACATGGGAGCAAAGGGTCCTGTCGGTGATCAGGGTCCAATGGTAGAGCAGCTTCCAAACTCCGGGCAACAGTTTGACAGGGATGTGATGCAGGGCAAGGAAGGACCCCAAGGTGCCAAAGGAACGCCTGGCATGCCAGGATTGCCTGGTCCCCAAGGTAAATCTCCTCTGCTGCTTGCATGCTGGCTGAGACATCGCTGACTTGCGTGTCCAGGACCACCTGGCGTACAGGGAGAGCAGGGCCCGATCGGAGACGAAGGGATTCAAGGACCAACTGGTGATGCTGAGGATTTGTTTTAGCCTCGTTGCTGATATATGTTCTCCCAGGACCCTCTGGACCACAGGGTCCTGCCGGACTGCGCGGACCCACTGGCTCCCCTGGGGACTCAGGAGAACCTGTACGAAGAGCTTCTTGCGCTCCCGAAACTTTTCGTAACTGACGTCTGGCTGTTCCAGGGTCCTCGTGGACTTCCATGGCCGACCGATGGACCTCAGGGCGCCCAGGGCCCGGCTGGAGATCCGGGTATCATGGGCGAGCAAGGTCCAAGAGGACCCGAAGGGCCGGCTGGAGGTCCGTCTACTGCTCCTCTGAGCATCAGCGAGATCGATGCTATTTCCGGTGCCACCTACAAGACCGGCTACCTTGCCGCGGGTCAACTGCTTTACTCTGACAACGATGAAATCAAATTCGAGAGCGTACCTGCCGAGATCAGTGGGCAACCTTACATCCTCACTGCAAACGAGGACAAGGGTCTGTCTGGTACTACGGAACTTGTCTTCCATGTCAACCGTCCTTGTTTTGTTTACGTCCTACGAGACATTCGTGGAACCGCAGCTGGTGGCGGGCAGCCGCCGTCTTGGCTTGCGAACGGTTTCGTGAAGTTGGACTCTGTGGTCGAAGTCTCGGATTCGGTGAGTAGAAATGGATGTGATTGTCTATCGGGTCTCATTTTGTCTCATCAGGATATGGGTAGCATGGCAATCTACAAGAGTGGCATGGCGATGAGCGGGAGAATATCTCTCGGAGGAAACGGGGCTCCTCCTTCAGTGGGCTATGAGAACAACTACGTGGTTGTCGTCGCTCCCTCCGAAGAGCACGCCACCTCGGGTGTGGGTGTCATCGGCCTGAAGATTCCTGCCGACACTGAAGGCAACGAGGCGTATGAGGGCTCGATGGGTTTCAGCTTCACTGTCAACTCACCCATCTACGTGATGGACCTCGGAGTTTTCAACCCTCTCGGGAGCGCGCCGCTGCCCGGCACTCTCTCCTGCCGCCTCTACAACATGCAGACAGGTGAGCTCATCGCGCAGCAGGCTTTCACGGAGGAGAACCGCGGGGACATGAAAGGTGGAGCCTTGTACAAGGCTCTGAGGAGCCCGGTGCAGTTGCCAGCAGGTTTCCAGGCAGTCATTGCTGGTAAGACTCTCCTTTCTCTTGTGTTCCTCCGCTGAGCTCGCGGGCAGCTGATGGCTACGGCTCGGAGATGAAGAACGGTAACTCCGAGGGCGCTGCGCCCTCATGGAGCTTCGACAACGACGGAGGAAAGATCACGTTCGGCTCGGACGCGCTCTACGGAGAGAAGGGAGAAATGCCGTCGGAAGTAGCAGGTGAGGAGAGGGAGAGGAGGAGAGGAGACGCTCTTTGACCCCCTTTCGCAGGCTCGCCTGGAAACCGATTCGCTGCCGCAACCTTCCGTTACACCTAGTTTTGTAATTTCGTAGAGTTTGAATAGTCGCTGATAAGGGGAAGCAAAGGACGGACGCGGGTGTGGTGAGGCAGACTCGCTCAGAAGGGTTCAGAGCAGGGAGGCGCTTCTCTTGATGCTCCACGAGGAGTAGGACACGAGGTCCATGATCGCCATCAGGTCCCCGCATGCTTCCAACTCCAGCGCCCTGCTCGCGACCGACTTGTTCATGCTCCCTGCCTCCTGCCCGGGACTCATAATCGTCGCATCCACTGTCTCAGCATCTTGCACGCCCTGGCTCGCCTCCTCCTCAGCCTTGGCTGGCATCGTGTCTGCGGACGAGGCGGAAGCGGCTGACTTGGGAGGGGAGGAGAAGAAAGCCTTGAGCCCTTCCAGCGCCGAGATGTTCTTGTCCGAGCCAGGAGACGTTCCACCTCTCCCTAGCGCCGCACGCATGACGTGTAGTTCGAGGACGCTGCTGTCGCCTCTCGAGAGCTTCAGCTTGACTTGAGTTCCCTTCCTCCCCTTGATCAAGTTGAGCACGTCGGCAGTCCGCAGCCCCTCCACGACCGTCCCATCCACCGCCAGCAGCTGATCTCCGCTCTTGATCCCACTCTCACACGCCGGACCCTCGGGGGCTACGCTATTCACAAAGATCTTCCCCGTCGTCGCGTCGCGTCCTATCAACATCCCCACACCTGCGAGCGCTCCTGCCTCAACGAGACTCTGGGTCTGGTCCGAGGCGGCAGGAGCAGCAGGAGTCTCGCTCGCCTCGCCCTCTGCTCGGTGACCTGGAGGGTCAGCCGTCAGCCCTCCTGGCCCTAACAGTCTCCTCCCCCCCCAGCCCTCACAGCGAGTGTTCTGACCTCTGCTCGTACTCGTCGCTTCCTGCCTGCTCGGCTCGTGGATGCTCTCCCTCAACACCCAGGACGCGAACTCGTTGCTCGGCGGCGCACTCTTGTCCCTCGCGCCGAAGTGAGGTCGCCGAGGAGTCAGCACGTCAGGTCGGGGCTCTGCTGGGCGGTCATCTAGGTACAAGGAGACAAGCGAAGGCACCTGACGTCTCTTGTCCTGCCCCACTGCTGCCAGGCGTCGTCCCGAGGTCTCAATCTTCGGTCAGTCGCACGTGAGTGGAGGAACAAGCTCACCTGCTGAGCTGCTGCTCATGTCGTCCAGTGTTGCCCTCCCGCTCCTGGCTTGAGCTTCTTTGGTGGCTCCCAGGCCTTGCAAGAGGGTCAGCCACGAACAAGGGCAACGAGCGCGTCGCTTACCTTGCAAGTGAGGAGATGAATCAACAACTTCTGCTGCAGAAAACGACTGATCAATGAAAGCAGAGTGCTCGTTAGAGGAAACTCTTCGTTGAGAAAAACTGCTCGAGTTTGTCATGTTGGATGCCACTTCCTCAGCTTTCATGTCATCGCGATTGACCCTGAAGGGATCGGGCAACTCTCTGAAGCTGCTGATCGAATGAACGATAGGGTCGATTGTTGTCACATTTGGAAACGTGTTTGCCTCTGCAGGAGCATAGCTGCTGTAGTTTGACTCTGCAGGAGCATAGCTGCTGTAACTGTGATGAAACCTCTTTAAGAACTCCAAGTTCTCATTCTTCGCAAGTCCTGACGACTTGGTGCCAGCGACAACATTGGCCGGTGACAAGTCTGAAGGCAAGTCACGCATCTCACTCCTCGCCCCCGAGCTCTGACTGTCACACATCTCTCCGATCTCCTTCACAGCGTCTTCTTCACTCTTGTCAGATTGGTACAAGTTCTCGTCCTCACCAGACATCGGTTCCCTGACTTGTACATCCTCAGCATCGTCCATCACAGTAGCTTCCGCCTCGTTGTCTACCATCCCCACATGGCTCTCCCTGTCCTCCCTCGAGGAGGAGCCTCCTTCCTGGGGCTCAGCCGTCGTGTATCCATGCTCCGACAGGTTGCCGTCCTCGTCGAAGGAGAGCGTGTGAACGGCCTCAACCACACTGACGGGGCCACCAGCACCCATGGGAGGAAGAGGCCCGATGACCCGCTCGACCTCCGCGATGGTCTTTTTGATGTGATTGATGGCTTGATAGTGCTTGTCATGGAAGCTCATCGGCCTCTGCTCCTTCCCTCTGCTCGAATCAGGCGAACGTGTTTGCTCTTCCTGCTTCTCCTCCTGTGTCTCCTCGTGATACCACTGCTCTTCATGCCTCTCAAGTCCAGCTGGCGAAGGCTGGCCATGCTCGTGCTTCATTCTCATTTCCTGCTGCTTCATCCACAAGCGCTTGATGTCCTCCTTCTCCCGTGAGTCGTCGTTGTTCTGCTCCTCCTGCGAGAGTGATTCATCCGCGAGCGGGTCTCTTTCCGACTTCTCCTCGTAGCTGATCTTGAAGGAGATGATGTTGCTGACGATGTGGCTCTCGTCGTGATGAGGATAATGAGGATGATGATGGGGAGGAAGATGAGGAGGATGAGGAGGATGAGGATTCATCGACCTCTGCTTGTGCATTGAGTCACTGGCAGAGATGGGAGGGGGTGGAGGCTCTCGGTCTTCCGGGGTTCGCTTCAGCGCCGCGTTGACTGTTGGCATGGAGCTGTCCGACCTTCGACGAGGCGTCTGGGCCTGGTTGTTGCTTGCTGCATACCTAGGAGTGAAGAAACCAGCACTAGGTGGAGGAATGAATCTCGGAGAGAGCGTATAGCTCTGAGGAACAGCATCGTAGATTCCGCGATTGCCGACGAAAGAGGGTTGAGAAGTTTGGTGGGCAAAGACAGCAGGGTTGGAAAATAGGAAGTAGGAAGGAGAGGGAGCGGAGATCGGAGGAGGGATAGCAGGAGGATGCTGTTGGATGCTGCTGGACATGGAGACGGAGGAGGAGGAGGAGGAGGAGAGAGATGGCGCCGGGCGGGAGGAGGCATGCGACTGCATGCTCCTAAGGGTTTTGAGTACAGGCGAAACCTGAACTGCTCGGGGAGGTGGATGAAGACTGAGGGGTACAGATTATGGTCGGAGTGGTGGGTCCTGACAGTCATTAGGAGGGGTGTGTCGTAGATGAAAGGCTAGGGGGTAGGGTGCTAGCCTCGGAGGACCATGTGGGGATGTGGTCACCAGGCTGAGAGGTCCGGACGGTCATCGTGACAGGGATATCTGTCCTCCGACCGTGTGGGGGAGGTAGGGGTACTTCGCGCTATTATGTAGGGGTAGAGTACCCACACTGGTATATTTTTCACCGTCACAGGACTACCCTCCCTAGCATGAGGTCTAGTTCACGGTAGACCAGGGGGTGGTCACTAGGTAGGGGTGGTCCTCGGAACCCTGACTGCCGGGATATTGTTTTGCCCAGGGGAAAGGACCGGGTGGTCTGGTACGATATAAGTTACTCAAAGTTTTGAGTCAGTGACTGCCAGTGACTCGGAGTCCCCGGGACGCCGCGCCGGTGCCCGGGCCCGCTGAGATTCGCGGCGGGGCCCGGGGTGAATTACTTCTGTCAAGGTTGCCATCGGATCGGCCCGACCGTGACACTGACATGTCACAGTGTCCGGTCAAGCCTGTCCGGTCTTGCCGCGGTGCGGCTCCCCGGCGGGGCAGTGCACTGCGGCACTGCCGGTCACTGCCGTGACTCAAAACTTGCGCGGCAAGTTGAGCTTACTAGCGGCTACCTCACTGACTGGCAAGTCGGATGAGACCGTGACTTTCGCTGCACAGTGACTTGATGCCGCAGTGCTCCTTCAGCAAGTCATGACATCAACATCGCCACCTTACGCGAAGCGCCATCGCCATCGCCATCGCCATCACGCCATCACCATCACCACCACCACCATCATAATCATCACTGAGTCACCATCATCACCATCATCACTGAGTCACCATCATCATCATCATCATCATCATCATCATCATCATCATCATCATCATCATCATCATCCTCATCATCATCATCATCATCATCATCATCTAAAGGCCGGCTGCAACCGCATCATCGAGTCAACAAAGTCCGAGCCATCTATAATGATTTCATCATCAGTGATGAATATGAACGTTGGGCCAAGTCACCGTCTGAAACGTGACGGGGAAACACAAGTTTCTTTTTTGTGGTGAATATGTCCATGGCAGGCAGAACGATAAGAAGCATAAAAATTTTGTGAATGAACCATCATCCGAACCATCATCCGTCAAGTTGTCCGTTTGACAGATAAGATGGTTATAAGAAACATTAACTTTGACTGACGATCCTTCAGAGAGCACATCAATCTGTTGGCAAGATATCACCTAAAGCAGCTTTTTGAAGTTTATTCCCAACGTTCCCAAGGTCTAGAACACTTGAAGATTTCTTATCATGTACAATGGGACATGTTGTGCGCTGTATGCTGGAATCAATCCCTTCTGGCTTCCACCCTTCACCTCTGATCTTGGCAGAAGTGATGAGACATGCTGGCTGTGTACTCCATGATCAGCATGATATCGGTTCGGGCGGGAGTGGCAAGACGAAAGCGGCTTACACTTGGCCCAAGATTCGTACTCGTCTATCGTGATAACTTCACTGTCTGAGAAATCCGGGCACGACTTGATTTCATTGTGGTGGTGGTGGTGATGGTGGAGGTGGTGATGATGATGTTCACCCGCCTGGATACTTTCATGATGTGAAGCTCCATGCAGGAGACAAGCGCGAACAACAATCGACGGGGGAATTGAAGTTTGGTATCCATGTCTGTCAAGATGCGAATCTTGATGGTCGTCCTGATGATGGTGGTGATGGTGATGGTGATGGTGATGGTGACCATCGGAGCCATACATTGTCTTGTTGTCTTGCGATCTTTTCGAGCAAGTTGTGCTTTCAGAATCCGTGGAATGTTTTCTGTCAAGGTCGCCTTTGTCTTTGAACAAGTCTTCCATTGCCTTTGGATGACGCGCTTTCAAGAGCCCAGTTTCTTTCTTGATCAAGACTTGTTGAGGAAGGAGCGAGATAGAGGACGGAGTTGTATCAGCGCTCTGCGACTTGCTTGCATTCAACATGTCGTTTGTGTTGGAGGATGTTGAGCTGGACGAATCCGCTGGGATCGAGTGTGTTCTTGCGCATCGGGCGTTGTGCATGGTTGAACCTGTTAGCATGGATGAGGTTGATGGAGAGGAGACGTGCTTGTGTCTGAGTCGAGAGGACTCGGGGGAATCTTTGAAAAGGTGAAGCGACTGCACGAGACAGGTGAAGGATGTAGGCGGATCGGAGGGGTGGAATGGCGGAACAGAAGCCGGTGCTTTAGAGGGCTAATTGCGGGGTAGGGGTAATGTCATCCAAACGAGCTCACATCGTTTCACAGACTCTGATCCTACAGGCGCGCAGGTGGCGACTTCGCCACTTTGACTTAAGACGACAATCGAGCAATCCAGCAGCCTCGCCCCACCCCATGAATGTCATTGCACCTATTCCTTGTGCGAACCCATGCCTTTTCATGGGCCTTGTTACGTTCGGCTTCTTGACACCTGAAGAAGCCACCCCTATTCCCCCCTTATACTACCCCTACCCCCTCCCCGCCCTGAGGGGGTATCGGCCGGCCAGGAGTCACTGAAGCAGGTCCGAATTGAATGATACTCTGTGTGATTCAATTCTGATAAGTAAATTGTGGCAAAGATATGAAATGAGCCTCGGAAAACTTTACTCCTTTACTCGAAGTCAACTTACTAAGTTAGTAGTTTAAAAAAAACGGCAAATGTTTGCTCAAAGTTATGACCGTCCGCACGCGCCACACGGCGAGAAGAGCCGGGGGCTTGAAAGATCGGACACTACTGTCAGCGGCCGCTTCACCGGGCTGCCAGTGGTGGTGGCTGGCGGATCGCTCGAGGAAACTGCAGCCGCGGCTGCCATGGCCTCTCGGCCTCGCAAGACGGTCATCAGGCTCTGAGGCTCAGGCCCTGTGATCCGACTTGCAAACCGGCGCATGAGAGTCGGATCTTTCGTCATTTCAACTTGGCAAGTTGCCGGGCTAGGCCTCGGCCTGTCCTTCTGCGGCTGCCATCATCGCGGGTCACACTGCATTCCGCCCGGATGCCCGAGGCTGGAGCCGCCTCAGTGCCGCGGAGACTCGTCCCCCCCCCCCCCCCCCACCCCCACCCCCGGGGCCGGGCGGCCCGGCGGCCCGCCGGGCGGCGGCCCGCCACTTCCGAGCCGGGCGGCTCGGAAGCTGCTCATCCCCCTCATTCCTGGCAGCCGATATGGCAGCTGAAGGGCAGCAGCGGCAGCAGCGCTGGCAGGCGAGCAGGCGGCTGACGTGAAGGGACAATGCCGCTGAATCAAGTGACCGAAGATAGGCATGGAGGACAGTGACATGCCGCTGGAGAGGGGCGCAGGAGGAGAGGGAGCAGGAGCAGGAGCAGGAGCAGGAGCAGGAGCAGGAGCAGGAGCAGGAGCAGGAGCAGGAGCAGGAGCAGGAGCAGGAGCAGGAGCAGGAGCAGGAGCAGGCGTGGGTCTTACGGAATCAGCTGGGGAAGGGAAAGCAACACTCCAAGAAAGTATCTCAGACCATGGCCATACTCAAGAACCCTACAAGATCCAGGTAAGATGAGAAGAACGAGAGAAGCAGTTGATAAGGATACAGGTGTCTAAAGTGAAGAATTCAAACGTGTTCTACCTTGCCCTGTGCAAGCGGGTCTTCCTAGTGAAGGACGTCCTAGAGCTCAGTGGCAGCGGCAGTGAGATGTCAACAGCGATCACCATCTCTGAGATCTTGAAGAACAGTGGAGTTGCTGAAAGAACCAGTGAGTTGATGTGAAGTGAAGCGACACGATGTGACAATGATGGGAGGGGAGGGGAGACATTGGTGGCGGGGAAGGAATGAGGTGGAGAGAGGGGAAGGGAAGGGAGGGGAGGGGAAGGGAAGGGAGGGGGAGGGGGGAGAGGAAGGTGATGAAAGGTGGGTTCGCGAAGGCTTGTAAAGTGTGAAACGAAAGTGTGTGGGAGGTGTAGAATTAACTTATTGTGACTGCAGAGATCATGACTTGTTCGAGCGATGGTGTTGATGATGACGAGGAGGAGGAGGAGAAGGAGAGAGCGCGAGGAGGGAGAACAAAGATGCAGCCAAAGGTGAAGATCTGGATGAAAAGACGTGCAATGCCGGATGCGACGTGAGGAGAGGAAGAGGAAAGGGGAGGAGAGGAGAGGAGAGGAGAGGGAGAGGAGAGGAGGGGAGAGGAGAGGAGAGGAGAGGGAGGAGGAGGAGGAGGGAGAGGAGAGGAGAGGAGAGGAGAGGAGAGGAGAGGAGAGGAGAGGAGAGGAGGAGGAGAGGAGAGG